GGACTCTATTCGCTATGTGTGAACACCACTTATGGGGTCTACAAAGTTTAGCGAATGGTCAACAGTTTGATGCACGTAACCAATGTTCGCCAAATTTCGGTATCCACGCCAAGAGCCCGTCCTGACAGTAGACCGGTAAATGGCGCAGTATGATTTCTTCGAGGGTTTGTTTATCGCGGTTGCTCCCGCCGACTCTGCCTTCTTGCCGCGCGACGGGCCTCCTGGGGGGTACCCCAGTCAAAGTTGGCTGTAAGTAAAGCGTTATACATGAATGCCGACCTTAGGGCTTTCAAAGCCGCCGTGGAGTAGCAGTAGTGCTCTCGTCTCCAGCCGGTAGGTCATGCATTCTGTTCCCGTTCATGTGCAAAGTTCGGATCACTGGCGATTTTGAATGCCCTGACGCAAGCACGGTTCATATGTTACGCTTTATTCACCGCCAACTTTGACTGCTCACAACTTCCTTGGCAGGTTCATTTTGCAGTTTTAGCCATATTTGTAATCAGCGTTTGAAGCTCTATCGATATATCTGGGTCTCATTCAAAGTTCCATGGGAAGTTGAATGCCTTTCCTGGTTAGATGCGACAAAGTGTTTTCAAAAATGTTCGACGTCTAACTTATCGGGAGTTACAGTAATGGAAGTTCGACCGAAATGACGTGTTAAGGCCATGAAAAGGCAAATTTTACTTACTTTCCCTTTAGTGGTTCCAAAATTAATTTGGACGTGGTTGTTTCAGTAAAAACACATATCTTCCATACGAATAGTTTGTATTCACTTCTATTTTTCTTTTACCCTCCCTTCAAAAGGCCAGAAAGTGTTGGGTGCAGACCAAACACCACAACTGACGACGGCCTCCAAGTAAGTCTGTGGGAGGCGGTCATATGGCGCGATCCCATTGGCATTAGAGCGCACAGGCCGCAATTGCCCCATCCTGCTGCGGCCGGACAACTCGTCCGTATCACTCAACTACTTGACTTCAGTAATTGATCGATCTGATAATTTGGGTCTCAAAAATCTCGCTGAGTCCCAAAGGTCTAAAAAAAGAGCGAATAGCTTCGCTGTCCTGATGCCAAGGCTAGAGGAACGAAACAGAATGTGTTGCGCGGACGAGTTGTCCGGCCACTGCAGGATGTGGTAATTACGGCCTTTGCGCTCCAATGCCAATGGAATCGCGCCTTATGACGCACAAGTAAATCTGGTTAGTAGTGGTTCATAGTGATAGCTGATTTTTAGTAAATGATAGTTGTAATTAGTGTCAACTGATCGAATACAACTGTAACAGGTTAATCATTTCATTGGCAAAAACATTTGCATTTTCTGGAGGCCGTCGTCACTTGTGGTGTATGGTCTGCACCCGACACTTTCTGGCTTTTTGAAGGGGAGGTTATTACATCGTTCATTTTCAAATGAATGCTAAACGAAGTTATGCACGTGAACGGCATATCGTCGTAAGGCCTCCAAAACCTCTGCTAAATCAAAGAATTTTGTGCGATTCTGTGAGCCACATCGTTTTTTGAGTATGGTAATGTGTGCCCTATAGAATGAGCGCTAAAAATTTGTAAAGAAGTAGAGCATGTGCGAAAAAGTTGAGACCAAAATGCTGACGTGCAAGCGCGTCAAAATATCCACGGCAACCTCAAATTTCTGACGCGCATCGTCGTCAGCCTGTCGTTTTCGTTTTGAGAACTATTGTAGAGTGTATAACGATCAAACACTGAAGCAGAAGGCTGAAGTCTTCTAGCGTTCCGAGAATGCGCCAGATAGACTCGGTCTTGTTACACAGAAAAAGCGATGGCAATAGTATGTAGGAGGTGCAATTTTGCTGATGCTCAGGCTCTTCGAATGGTACCCATTTGTCCTTCCTACTTTCACTTTCCTTTGATCTTTTGATGCGCGGAGAATGTTGATTTGTGCGATTTGAGAACGTCTACTAGCTCTCGAATTGATGGTCGTAAGAAAGATTGCTGTAGTCCAAGGTCAAGATTGCGTATGAGGAAGAGCTGAGAACCAATATTATTTTCTCGTAACCATTTCCTTCGCTTCTCACTTCATTCGTGTTTTGATTAGTTTGCATTGCTATTTCTGATTTTGAACTCGTATAAGTGACTTGTTCAAAAATGCTTGGTGATGTCTTCAACTCGAACCAGAAAAAAATTCTCAACTGCAAGAGTTTTTTTTTTCGAAATCCGATCATACTGGGAGATAGCACGTAACAAGATCTTTCAATGAGCATAACATCAACGTTCGAGATTCAATTTATTGCTAAAACGTGTGCAAATTGACAGCGATACAAACCTTGCATTTATTTTCATCTCATTTATTGATTCAGATTTTCAGTTTCCTGCTTTGAAGCAACTAATTTCGGCGTTTTAAAATTATCAACCTTATATGTCATCACTTCGGGTACTTGATATTTCATCATTTAAAATCATATTCATTCTTAACATCATTTTCAGGTGTTCGAAGGGTTCGAGCAATGGAAGCGTCTGATTCACCTGATGTGTTGTTGTCCTTCTGCTCTTGGTCCACGATCGGATTTGTACATATCATTCATCAGAGTGAGTTCTTTCCTTTTTAGTTCATGGTGCATGAATCTTATTGTTGCCGTTGTCCTGTAGTGTTCAGTGACATCATTTTTAGGTTCTATTTTTCGAGTTGAAAGAGTGCCCCACTGATTTTTTCGTCGACATAGTATCACGAGATAATTTTCTCACTACGACTCTATCGATGTTATTTGCGAACATTAGAGGTCAGTTTATTAAGTTTTCTTTATTACGAAACAGTCCTGTCTTTTCTACGTTGATTGGTATTATTAAAATAATTTCGTTCAGATTCCGATACTGCTTCAGCGGAGTTGAAAAAGAAGTCAATGCAGTTCAAAACATATCTCACAAAGGAATTCAAGTGGGACTTTGAATGCGAGTAACTTGTGTGCGTTTCGCTTACTATGTAATTTCTTTTCACTTACATCATGTAAAGTTATTTCCTATTATTATGTTTCTATTCTCATTCTTCTCTTTGAAGCCATTTTGGCCATAATGAGGTTTCCGCTCCATTGAAATAGAGATGTTAACAATTTTTTCGTACTGCAAGTGTCTTCTTTGTCGGGCGGATTTCGGAGGAGTAGTGTATTTGGCTGTTGAACCCTTTTTGAGGTTTGTTGAATCTGTTAGCCGATTTTTCCCATTATTCACAGAATTTGTGCTTTGAATATTGAAGAGTACAGTCCTCCAACTTGCACAAATCGCCCGTGCAATGAGGATATTTGCTCTCATTAAAACAGATCTCTAAACAATTTCCATTAAATGAATTTTTATTTGTTCCATTGTTGATCACATATCGAGAGTTGAGTAATGTATGTTCATTCAAGGCCAATGGTAAAGCTAAAGCCACAGAAATGAACGATAATCCGTAGAGGCGTTGTGGCAAGGCTTGTGAAAATATCGAAAGGATGGTCAAGATTTGAGCTTAGAAGTAATCTAGCTGAGATGTGATGCGTTTTCGTGAACAACGTGGTCATGGCAAAGAAATGGCAATTGAACTGGCGCAGGGTTAGCCGTGAAAAAAGCTCGTGTGGTTCATGAAAAACGTGCCCACTCCCGGGTGTGACCGTGAGAATTCGGCTAGATAAAAGGGTACTACTTGTACTCACAGGCACTATTTGGTAGGGTACCGGTCTGGTCTGACTAATATGCTTTGCTGACATAGCTTCACATCTAACAATAAGACAAGTGTCAGACTCGGCGACAAATCGCTAGCGAATTGCGCGATTGCTTGCGAAGTCTGACACCTGCCTAATGAGAGTTTGTTCTGAAGGCATTTGTGAAGAGGCGGTAATACACCATAACAGATATAATACAGATACAACATCTATGATATAAATAAACAAACCAATCATATTTACTGCTCTAGAGCTCTTCTATTAGGTGTAATGAAAAGGAGTGTTAAGTAGACTGACTGGCTGAGTTAGATTTCAACTATTGGAATTTGCTCAGGGAGCACTTGTGGAGCGGATTCAGCGATAGGCTTGGATTCAGATGGAGAGTGAGCGGAAGCGATATGCAGAATGAGGGAATGTTTGGAGGTGAAAGAGAACTGGCATAGTGAACAGAGAATTTCCTCAGAGAAAACGTCCACAGAATGTGCAAACTGCTTGTGACGTCCCAGTAGTGCTTCCGTTTTCCCTCTGAAATCGGTGATATTCGTGAAATGACTTGAGAATCCTTCTTAAAAGTTATTGTTTGAGACTATGGTAAGGATATGACGAAAAGCTGAAGTAAGGCCAAGCGTAACTGCAGCGCACTCGCTCGGTAGGCGACTGAGATGCAGAGTCAACCCTGCGTTGCGCAGTTCGCAACGGCACGTTGAGAGATCCTCAACGCACGCTGTATGGGCGGAGACGCAGACGGCTCGAGCATGCGAGTGTGAATGTTCGCGCGAGAGAACGTGTCTAATCGGGCGAAACTGCGCAACGCAGGGTGGACTCTGAGAACTGCGCAACGCAGGGTTGACTCTGTTTATAACCCAGCATTCTTGAGAAACCTTCGCAAGGCGAGCTGCGGCCAACAAACAGCAGTCAACAATCAAAAGCAAGTCTGAATTTGTTGCTGTTGTTTATTTTCGCAACGCTTGGTATGCATAGTTACTCGAAAGTAATGTGCAGTGTAATGTGTGATACAAGTTTGTAATAGTGGAATTTTTAGCGGAAGTAGAACAGGTTACTATGTAGTTCTGTTTACAATTGCTCATTGTTGTTGTTTAGATCGTACTTCAAAATAGTGCTGAATTGTTGACGTCGTCATCTGCAAGCCGGGCTTTTACCCTGTGCTGTGCCTTATTTGTTTGTAACATTGTCGATGTCATCGCCTCATGTGAGGGGACGGATCAATCACTTCGTTGTCATCCCGGCATTGTCGCAACCGCGCGGAGACTACTAGCTGCCTGCCAGCCAGCAGTTCAGTGGGTTCTCGGCCTCGGTTTTCGTCTTTCCCTTCCTCAGCTCTTACTCATTTCCCTTAATCTTATGTAATTATAAGTAATAAAGTATATACAGGGGGGCAATAAAAAAGACATTTTGTCTCCAGACTCAAATGGATTTCACACTTTGCTCAGCTCAAAGCGTGTGCTCCCAACTTAGAATTGAAGAGCGCATTTCATTTCATAAGAAAATCTTCATAGTGGCCATCTACGTGGACGGCATCAGAAAAATTTGCCCCGGAAACATGGTGCTCTGGTCGAGCTCAATGGGGTTCTCGACTGATCGTGTACCGTTACGACGGGTTCCGAAGGGCGGGTTCCGAGGGGTTTGCATAGTTAGAGCTAATGTCCCTAGGAAACTATCCCACGTTGAATCGATCCAAGAAATTATGTAAGAGCTTCAGGCTGAAGCAGTTACTGTAGGCCTCCCTGAGCTCGACGACGGTGACAGATGACGTCATATTCTGAAGACGGTGAGGGTAGTGAAGGAGGGCCTGCGTGTACTTATAGAGGGACATTTAGGGAATATTTTGCTGAGGAACTTCCGTCAACGACGGCAATCTCTGCGAAGAAAAAAGGCCGAAGTGCGACATGGCAAAATGTCTTTTTTTGCCCCCCCCCTCCCCTGTATAGTCCCAGTCCATTGTACTACACAGAATTATAAATACTACCGCTACACGCTCAGATTAGAGGTTTGCTACCCTTCAATCTGACAAACGCTTTACGGGTTCTATGGTTATAACAGACGCGTCAATGGAGCGCACGAACAGACAAATGAATAAGAGTTGTTCTAAGAATGGGATTCCTGCTTCCCCCATATCACTTCCCAGCAAACGTTTGAATTAGTGGCATGGTTGAGCTTGCGCCAACTCTCTAAAACAAATCCATCAGCGGCAAGTTTGGCCCTGGTTTGCACTTATGATAATTTCCCACGTTATGATAGGAAGGGCTGTCGGTCGGCCGCATTTCCCTCGGCGCTCCCTTTGAAAGCCGCGTGTAAAATATGCTTACTTTGCAGTAGACGTAACTCGGGTTTGAAAGTACTTCTCTGTTATTCATTCGTAGCTGCTTTGTCACTATTTGAAGCTTCCCAATTATATCAACTTCTGGTTTCTTACTACTACCATTTTGTCAAGCGCAATGGTGAAAAGCGCAGTTTCAAACGCATAATTGTTAGTTTGGCTCCTGCATTCACTCTTGTGTAGCTTAGCTCGATATTCATGTTATTTTTGAAAGTTAATGGAAAATGTCAGCTATGACCGGTTGGTTCGCCTTGGGAGCTTACTGCGAGCCTACTTCATCGAGCTTGACAAGAATTCATCACTCTTTTCTCTCGATCAGTCTCACCATCGCTTTTTTTCACCGGTTATT